TTATCCCCTTTAGTGTCTTACTCCCATTTCTGCTACTTTCTTACAGCAGAACACATGTTACTCATTAGTAGCATGGATGATATGGGAAACAAGAACATTGAAATTGTTTTGAATATGTTCCAGATGTTAGTATCAAACAAGGTTGGGTCTGCATTAAGATTTCCTTTAAAATATTCTTATTAATTGGAAGTGGAAAATAATTCAATACTAAACGATTCTCTAGAATTCTAAATTCACTAAACATTTGCCATCGTAAAACATATACGTAATAAGTGGTTCTTATAAAACTGCCTAACCCACTTTCCGTCTTCAAAGGGCTTTGCAGGCATTAAGCAACTAAAATTTGATTGTGGTAAGAGCCAGGATTTGCTAACAAGGTTAAATGGATACATGGTCCAAAGTTAAACAAAAGCCCCACGATGGCTGTGTGTGTGCACTTACCTTCTCAGCAGAGAAGGGACTAAAGGCTTGTAGCTGCACCAGGAGGTATAACCTGCAAGATACTTTTGACTCTTTAAGTGCCAGTTTGATGGGGATGAGATGCAAGAGTTATCTGTATGTGTTTGGAGCCGACGAGGCAATCTTGGTACGTGAATTGGAACTTGGCCCTTAAGCAGCGATGATACTGAATTTTGGCAAGATGTTGGTGTCGTTGATGCAGGTGAGGTTGGCAGGAACGGGATGTGGGGCTGGAGTGGGAAGCTGGCAGAGCCCGATCCTGGTGTTTGTGCATGGCAGAGCAGCAGAACAGTAAATCCCAGGCAAGGTGAGGCTGTGGTTTCACGTTGGCTTTCAAATATACAAGCAGGCGGTGCGGAGGTGATAAACAATCAGATTAGTAGTGTCATAGAAAGGGCTTTCTGTTTCTTTTTTCAAAGTGGTAAATATGCACTTTGTATGATTAAACTATCTAGGGGAAGTATATAAAGTGATGAATTCTAGCTTTCCAGTCAGAGGAAGGTAGGCAGGAGGGGTCTGTGAGGGAGCCAAGAAGAGCCAGAGCAGCTAATTTGGAAAGAGGAGAGCTCTTGCTGCTCCCACTGGAGTGACAGTGTCTCGAAGTGGCACCTACTTGCCTTCGACTGGGCCAGATCTGCAGGTGCAGTAGGTACTGCTGGAGAGAAACGCTGTTAGTGAATGTTTAGTGAATAGCTTAGGCGGTGCTGGATGTGTGCAGCATAAGAATAGACTAAAATACAGCATAAATGGAGAGAAGGTGGCAGAAAGAACTGTCTTGTGTCATGTACAGGCTGAGCATCAGTGGACTTTGTGATCTAGAAATAAGTTTTCGTTTCGCTTGGCGCTAGCTCCAGGCATATGCTGGGCATGGCACAACACCCAGTTTAGTGGTTGGGCAAATATGCGAATTTCAGTGCATAAAGATTCCTGTTTGGTACTGCCAGCACATTTAAGAGAAATAACATTCATGTGAGAATCTTGAGTTCCTAGGAAGGGTAGTACGGGCCCAGGACATAGCTACACAAACACCTGTGTGAAACTCGGCAGAAATGCGACATCTGGAATCATAGAATCATAGAATCATTGAGGTTGGAAAAGACCTCTAAGATCATCGAGTCCAACCGTCGACCCAACACCACCACCCACTAAGCCATGTCCCTAAGTGCCTCATCTACTCGTCTTTTAAATACCTCCAGGGATGGGGACTCCACCACT